GGCGTATCCACGGACCTGAGCTATTTTATTATGTTCTCTCAATCTATCTTTAATTGCACATGTGTGGAAGCTAAATATCTGTTAATCCTGATCGAGACGATAGAATTTTAGAAAGTGACTTGGCTCGATCCAAGAAGATTTAGCATTAGAAATATCGAATCGTGATTAAATTATATTTTTTCAAGCTCGCAGAGGGTTGAAAAAGATGGATTCGTTGTTAGTTCTAGCGGATTATTTAATTGGAGGCTATCTAGGATAGTATTGGATCGATTGTGTTCGACCGCCTTTTTGGTTCGTTTGCTTCCACTGTTGAGAAACGAGAAAGTTGTCTTCTTGAGTTCAGTAATTGATGTAATCGTGATTGAATCATGTGGCATTGAACGAATTAATTACGAGAGCGTATCTTTGGAGATATTAATTCTTGCTTTATTTTCTCGTCTTGACTCTAATGGTTAAACGGTGAATCGCGAGTTTTATCTAATGTATGAACTACTCGAAAAAGATGATACTTCTTCTTTTCCTCGAGTCTAGAAAGATTTTTCCAGTTGATCGTAAAGATCACGTTTAAATAAATCGGTAGACTCATCGGATAAAACGTTATTTCGTACTGTTTTCTAATTCTGGCTAGGATAAATCTAGGATGAATTTTAGCCTTGATATCGTAGAATAAATAATACACAGTTGCGCCTCGTAAAATTAACAGAGCGCCATTTGTTAGGGAAAGTAAGGCAAGAACTAGATTTTCTTTCGAGATACTTACATCTGGTTTTAAAGCGACAGAAAGATCACAGAAATACCGACACCATTGTTTAACCATTGATGATTCCCGTGAATACTCCCGTTTAAAATTCAGCGTAGCATGAATAATTACTCTTCCCTCCCCCCCTCTATAAATTGTCGTTTGATTCATCTGCTATACAGTTATAACTGTGACTCGACATTTTTTTTACAACGCACAATCGACGCCTTTGATATTCTGAAGGGGGGACAGATGTGCACTGGCTAATAATTTTCCTAGAAATTGCTCTCAACCGTTCATTATTCTACGAAACGAATTCGTTTCTTCCCCTCCCCTTCCAGGTGTTCGAAATTGAACACCCTTTAAGGTCGCAATCATCAACGTTTCATCCAAACGCGCACGAAAATTTCAGAATTATATTTTTATAGTACGAAATCGAGGAATTTATCGTGTTTTATCGCTTTATAACTTGGATTTTATTTCGATTCAGGGGCGTTCAACGAGAGTTGATTAACCTTAAAAAAATTTCTACCGACCGATTACGTAATTTGCATTTGGATTTCGGTGAATCCAGGTGGTGTAATCGGCAGGTGCCAAAAAGTGGAGCCAACTCCGGAATCCACGGTGGTCCACGATCCCTCCTCGGCCACGTACTCATATTAAGTTACGTGACTTAACAGTTCGCTGCTCCGAATATTGCGCGGCGATCCAGAATTAACGACACCTGCTATTTTCGAATGGATGTCAAGCCTCAACCGTGACAATATTTCTTTTATACTCTTCGGTTTTGTCCGTCCAGTTAGTTTTCAAAGGCGACTACTTGTTGAGCTTCGTTTATCGTTCTTGCGTTATATCAAACAATTTTTTTTTTTTTAATATCATCAAACATATATACCATGTTTCATGTCCTCTGTATGCGGTGTATACGGAGTGCGATGAAAATAAGCGATGCAATTCTTATCGGATACGAAATCAAATATTATGCTCGGTAGAAATAATTTTTAACGATACCGATAGCGATGATATCCATTTTAAGTATCTCTTCGATACAAAAATAAATTATTATATCGATTTTTAATTTACAAACTTGTGCGTTACGATGTACTATTACGATGTATTATTCGATATATATTCCATTCCAAACTGGTAAATCAATTTTTATAAAATTTGTCACAAAGTGGATGAGTCCAAAAATTATTTCAAAAGCACAAACAATTTTTTATAAAATTTCCAAAGAGAAAATGCGTTCACCTACATTTCTCGTAGTGGAGGATCGATTTGTTACGATGGAAACGAGTCGATAACTCTGAAAAAATAAATTATTCTATCAGTTACATTATATAAAAAAAATTTTGTCGAAAATATAATTTTTCACAAAGTTTATAGAGTTTCAGAAATT